GTAAGTCCCAACACATGCATATCAAAAGACCAAAAACTGCCTCGCCTGCCTCAGGGTTCAGAGTTTTTGGTTGAGGGGTTGTGGGTGTATGGTTTTTCTGCTCCCTAAACACTAAACCCACACCCCCCGAAGATATTGAAGGAGCTCAGTGTGTTAGGCCCTAAACCCTAAACCCTAAACCCTAAAAGTTGCACGGGCCTTCTTCATCACAGTGCAGCGCGGGCAGCTGCTCGGGGGAGCGGGGCCGGGTCGGCGAGGAGGCGCCTCAGAAGAAGAGCATAGGAAGGAAGTAATGTAGGGGCCTTAACAATCAGAATAAGGTTCCTTTAAAGGGTTCCTTTAAGGGATAGTATAGGGGTACGGCAAGGGTTTAGTATAGCGGCCTTAGCAAGTAAAACGGTTTTGGGCTCGTTTACAATATGACTACATTACGAACCTGAAGGAATAATGGAGGTAATTCTTGGAGCTTCCATATTTCTGCTTGGGCCACTGCCCCCATACAGTAATAGTCTTGAATCGGGCTACTCTGAATTATGAAGGGCTTTGTACATCCGGAGTATAATAAGTATTCATGTGCTACTGAGTGGAGGCAGTGTCCAAAGTAGTAGGTAGGAACAAGACTCATGCTACTACTCATACAAAAACTAGTAAGAGTAACTAAAAACACAAGCAGAATGTGACTCCTAAACAAGACTAACACTACGACTCAGGCTCATACTTAAAATACAGAAGGAAATAAGAACAAAATTTTTTAAAAAAACGATAAACAAAATAACAACAATAACAAACATGATAGCTATAATAACAATGCTAGCAAAACAAACAGCCATAAAAATACTAATACTACTAATAGTATAAGAATACATCCCCGGGCCGCAAGTTTCGAGCTACACGTGTATTATCTAACATACAGGCTCTTACGGAATAGCGAAGCGCCTCAAAGTGTCGTTAACGCTACGCAGGCTAGCAGAGTCATTTCTACACCGTTTTAACATTATGATACCTTTTAGTTCCGGAGGAGACCCCCAGGCTCACTCTTAAGTTCCGGAGGAGGCCCCCAGGCTCACTTGTGTTAGGAGTCCATGGGGAAGGTGGGCGACGGGGGGTTCCAGCATGTTCAAGCTAATCGGCCCGGCGCAGTATAATAGTTAGCAATAATATAATATTATAAATAGTTGTAGTAGTAGTGATAATGGTAATATCAACAACAATAATGAGAATACGAATGATAAGCAATAAGTATATGCATCTGTACACTGCATTTACTTTCTGCGTGTGAAGCTTGCATTATGTCTTTTTATGCCTCCCTTGTCTATGCATTCCCTTAGTTGCCTGCTATCGGTATCAGGAAGGCGCTACTGCTGCCCCTTGCAGCGACACTCGCTGACGTTCAGTAGTAGGAAACTTAACAAAGCCTCAAGCTATCTTCCCCTAAAACGCGGAACCCCGCACCCGGCAGTTCTTGAGTCGAGACCCAACTGCCAACACCTCGGAAAACACTAAAAATTTCAAAAAACCCTAAAACCCCAAACCCAAAAACCCTAAAACATCGAACCCCAAACCCAAAAGCCCCTTAAACCTGCAATCCCAAACCCTCAAATCCATTTTGGAGGCACCTTCAGGGTCTCCTCCCCGCCAGCCAGGAGCCTGCAGCAGGAAATCAGCTGAAGGGTCTGGGGCTTAGGGTGTAGGGCTTTAGGTTTAAGGCTTGAGGATCAAAGGTTTTTTGTTGAACGCATTTTACCGTCCAGCAGTAGTACTGCTGTCGGGAATCCGCCTTAGAGCTTAGGGTTGCGAGCCTCGGGTTTCAGCGTTGATGGAGATTGGCTTGGGCTCGAGGGATTCGGGTGCTTGACACTTCGGGCGTTGTGCTTCAGTCCGGTGAAAGGCTGCGAAGTCTAAACCCTGCACCACAGAAGGTTCTCTCTTCAAGTTTGCTAGATCAACACCTCTGCTCTAGATTTTCACACCGGTTGCAGTCCGCATACCTTGTCTACCAAAACCCTATTCTAATTATTAGGGCCTATGGCTACACCATGCTACACCCTTATAGTACCCTTATGGCATACCTTAAAGGAACCCTCCAAAGGGATCATTCGTTCCTATATTCTAACCTGGACTTGCTAATTACTCCTCTCTCTCCCCCTCTCCATGCAGCCGAAGTCCCCCCGTGCCGCAACGTTCGCTCTCTCTCTCTCTCTCTGTCTATCTCTCTCTCTCTCTCTCTCTATCTCTCCTCTCTCTATCTCTCCATCTCTCCATCTCTCCATCTCTGCATCTCTCCATCTCTCTAACTCTCTATCTCTCTATCTCTCTATCTCTCTATCTCTCTATCTCTCTATCTCTCTATCTCTCCTCTCTCTATCTCTCTCTCTCTCTCTCTCTCTATCTCTCTCTTTCTTTCGTTCTCCCGTTCTGTCTTTCTACCTTTCTCTCTTTCTCTCTTTCTCTCTCTCTCTCTCTCTCTCTCTCTCTCTCTCTCTCTCTATGTCTCTCCTTCTCTCTTTCTCTCTTTCTCTCTTTCTCTCTCTTTCTCTTTCTCTCTCTCTCTCTCTCTCTCTCTCTCTCTCTCTCTCTCTCTCTCTCTCTCTCTCTCTCTCTCTCTCTCTCTCTCTCTCTCTCTCTCTCTCTCGCTGTCTTTCTCTCTCTCTCTCGGTCTCTCTCTCTCTCTCTCTCTCCCTGGCCACTTGAGGTCTGCCTGTGCTGGGAACATCGGGGAGTGAAATTCGCCGGAGCGTTCAATAGGAACAGAAGCAGACGATGCATGGTCGAATGCTGAAGGCTGTGTCAACTCTAGCGCCTCTCCAGAAGCTCCGGATCTCCGGCAGATTTGTGCGCCTCATCAGCCGGCTCCTGCCGTGGCAAAAGACATCCTCTTCATGGTGTTGATGATGCTGCTGCATGGTGGTGGTTAAGAGACTACTGAACACAAGGTGCGGATGAGGATGGGGATGACAAGGACGATGATGGTCATGGTCATGGTCATGGTCCTGGTCATGATCATGGCGATGGTGCTGGCGATGGCGCTGGTCATGGTGGTGATGATGATGAGGAGGATGACGATGACGATGGCATTGATGATCATGAGGATGATGATGATGATGACGATGATGATCACGACGGGGAAGACGAGGATGGGAAGTGGCTCAAGCACTAAATTCAAGTCACGGCAGTGGCACCGTTCTTGCGGCCATTCTTTGCACCACTGACAGTCATGGATTATGACAGATACTTGGTAATTAGATGGGCAGCAGGTAGGTACACAGTCAGACCAGGCAGACAAGTATGCAGACAGACTGCTTTTACCACAAATGTGATCTTGGTGTTCCTATGACCGGTCACGATTGATTGTGACGAATACATCATCCTCGCAGTCGAGAAGCTTAACAGTGGTCCTTATGGCCAATAGCATGGCTTTCTTGACAAGGGACCGCGGTAGCTGTAGCTCTGACGAGAGGCAGAAGCTATGTACTGATAATCGACAGTACAACCGCCTTACAATGCAAATCGCCTTTGCCGCACGAGCACGAGTAGAAGTGAACATGCAAAGCGGGGGTTTCCGAAAATAGGGGACCCGAAAATAGTATGCTGAATAGTAGGATCCTCATTATACGGACCCCAAAATAAGGTATCCCTTCTTTTCGGAAACTCCCAAAAGGGGGCCCAGAGATCCCAACACCCTTTAATTCAGGAACATACCTTAACCCATAATTTTAAGCCCCTTACAATTTAAGGCATATTCCTTAAGTAAGGGGTATTAGAATCCCTTAAACCCAGATCCCTTGAAAGGAACCCTATAGGGTAATATTTCTTAAGTCAGGGTTATTGGGATCTCGGGGGGTGCTGCAAACCTGAAAGCCAGAAGCACACGCCGAGAGCTCGCCGAAGCCTCAGGGAGCACCTCTTGGAGCAGCTCCTGTAGCCTGAGTAGAACGGTTGATGATATAAATCCTTCATTACCCATAATAAGGAGTATACCATAATTCCCATAGTGCAGGGTCCTTAGGGTTATGCAGGATTTATATCATCAACCGAATCATGGGGGATGGTGCCACCTCACACCAGGGTTTGTGGGTGGCGGCATATTACGCGTCAAACCCGCCCAAACCATCTCCTGTTAGGGTTTACACACCAGCAAGGCGGGCAGGGCGCAGCACGGGCAGGGCAGGGCAGGGAACCGGCCTAGAGGCCCCGGATCCCTGGAATTGGCCTGCTTGAGGGCCCGGGACCCCCTTCGGGGGAGGCCCGTTTTGGGTGCCGGAAAATGCCAAACGCAACCATCTCCCGAACTAAAGGCTGCCGGGCATCTTCAGTGTCTGGGCACCCAGTTATGGGTGGGAACGGCCCCAGGAGGCCTTGTGGGAATTTAGGGTTTAGGGTTTAGGGTAGGGGGAGGGGGGTAGGGGACTATATTTCCTTAAATGGGCGTTGTTAAGTCCTTATTATGGGTCGCTATGATAGAACAGGATTTTTGGGGCATGTGATGCTCTAGTTGCAAAAAGGAACCCCAAAATAGTATAGGTAATTATTTATCCCCTGTATTATCCACACCGTGGCTTCAGCGTGCCAGTTCGCATCTCCGGCGCCTTTTTCTGCGGCAGCCTGCGCAGTCAAAGGAACTCCACGGAGGAGCTTGGGCTGGCGTCCACGACCATTTGCAGGAGACTCGGTCTCTCTTGAGGTCCATCTTGGGCTTCCGAGAAGGAAAGCTTCCGGGAAACTCCGGAAGTCTTCCGATGCTGCCGAAAAACTTCAGGGGAGGCTTCCGAAAAGCTTCCGGGGGGGGACTCCGGAAAACTTCCGGGAATAGCTTCCGGACATCTTCCGAGGGGGTCCCGGAAAACTTTCGGTGGCTTCCCTGCGGCGGGCTTGGAGGCTTGCGGAGAACAGCCAGGCAGAGTGGTACTATCCACGCCAGAAGTCGGAGTGCGCCAGCTTTGTCGCGATCTCCACGGCGTGCGGCGAGGCTTGCTCCGGAGAACTTCGGTGCCCGATTCGCATCAGAGAGCGGACAGCATGGCCTTGTAGTAGTCCGTGCTGGTACGGAGTGCCTCCTGGTTCACCTTCTGCATCTTCTTCACCTCTGCTCCGACAGTGCTCTGAGTCATGCGGCCATATGGCTTGAAAAACACCACATTAAGGGCTCGGCTATGTCCGTGGCATCCTCATACGTGAAGTGCAGGGCCTGTTCCATGAGGTCCACAATCCCCGTGAAGTACATGAGATGCGGCATCTTCATGTAGTCCGTGTAGATCCACCTCAGAATGCGAGCGACAAAGCCAACCGCAGGCAGAAACCGACAATGCCCTCGAGCAGAAGCAGCTAGTTTGGAATACTATGTTGCAAAGTACGTTTTTTAATCTTAGTTATTGTGTATGTTATGTTAGAAAGAGCCGCCCGAAAGTCCTCGTCACCCTACTTGCCCTATGTTCCAAGTGTTGCAGAGTGGGGCATGGTACTTGGAGGATCAGGGGACTTAGTAAGTAAGGTTATAGGTACCCTAATTGGGGTTATAAGTACTAAGTACTTATAAGTAGAGTTACCTTATTTATAACCCTAGTTACTAAGTCCCATGATGCTTTAAGTGGTGGTCTGATTCCAGTGCAGCACAGCAGCCACCTCCGGATCTGCTGGCTCAGCGGTAGGTCGGGGATCCCGGCCTGAAGCCTCAAGGGGACCCAGTAGCAACAAAGCTCATAGTCACCGCAGAGAGAGAGAGAGAGAGAGAGAGAGAGAGAGAGAGAGAGAGAGAGAGAGAGCACATCCTTAAAATCACCAGACTCTGAAGTTGCCCTACCATGGTTTCGAGTTCTCGGCGCTCGCTGTGAGCAAAGGCTACTCTCCAGTCTTCCAAAGCCTATCCGCACTATGTTCCAGGTTATATGCTCGTGACACTGCTACTTAGTGATTAGACTCGAGTAGTTAACGTGCCACAACACCACCCTAAAATCTAAATCGAGATGTTCTGAGATTCTTGCTTCGCCCCATTGAAGGACAAGGAGCCATGGGACCCGCTCACCGGTGCGAAGGAGAGGGGGTCTCCTGTCAGAAAGCATCTTGATTCCAATCCCCACAGCGGCACCCAGAACTGGCAACTCCGGTAGAGTTCACCCCAAAGCCCCTCGCCTAACCCCTAAACCCCAAACTCGAAACCCTAAAGCCCCTCGAAGCCCAAACCTTTCAAACCTAGAATTCGAAAAACCCATCCCCCCAGGAGTCCTGACCAAGTTGTTCTCCGGGTCGGGGCCTTGGATATCAAGGGTTTAGGCTTTGAGGTTCGGGGTTCTTGGGCTTAAGGCTCAGGTTTTGGGTTCCGGGATATGAGACTGAAGAGCTGCATTTACTGCCTGGGAGGACCTGCCATAACCCAGACAAGGTTCCTCAAAACCCTGAGAAGGCCATAACCCAGAGAAGGTGGGGGCGGCGGCAGTGTACAACGTACGGGAAACTGCAGGTTCCATGCCCGACTCTTACCTTGAGGCGCTGGCAGTCGCGCGGCAGGGGATGAAAGTGGCAGTTAGCTGAAGATTGCCACTCGTGCCTCTGGCGCATGGGGGTGGCTGATACAGTCTGCAGACGCTGCATGGACATGAGGTTTGGGGCTTGTCAAGAACTCAAGACATGCCTTGAACATAGATAGCCCTTCTGCTGTGATGCCACTGCTGCGAGGCGTGTACGGATGGCACTTTGTCTGATGACATGCTGATCGGCAGTGCATGGGGTGTTTTTTCTGCTCCGCTGTTCACCGGGCGATCGTTAAACCGAAGGCAGCAAAAGGAAGTCACAGTTCCCTAACTGCAGTGAAGCCTACACCCGAAATAACTGAACATGCTGTGAACCGTTCATCCAGCGACACTTTGGGGGTTCCTGAAGAAAGCTATAGTATAAGAAACCCCCAAACCCTATTCGATTCCCGCTATTTTGCCCTTTAAAGGAACCCTTTCCAGAAGGAACCCTATTCTAATTATTCAGGCCCCCATGCTACAACCCGATCAAATGAACTTGCGGCCTTAACTCGGTGAAGCGGTTGATTTGCTGGAGCTCGGTCCTGTAGAAATAACCTCAAAGCCGAGTTAGGGTTTAGGGATTAAAGGGGTTAGGGTTTGGGGTTTAGGGCTTAGGGGTTTAAGGTTTAGGGGTAAGGGTTTTGGGTTAGGGCATAGGTTTCAGGGTTTAGACGGGGTTTAGGGGTGGGGGGTGTAGGGTTCGGGGCTTTCGGCTTGGGACCAAGAGAAGCCAGAATGTCTCTGATCTTCAATGCCGCGCTCACTGACGACGTTGTCCACAGCAACGCTTGAAGTAGTGAAACTGATGTTTCATCATACAGACACGCTTAAACAAAGGAATCAGCCGAATGCAAGCAGCAGCACTAGAAGCAATCTCAAGAAGAGCAAGAATACTACGAATTGCAACAATGGTGACTATAGCCGTGCTCTAGACACACGGTCGCACAGCAAGCTCTGGTGCTTCAAGATCAGTGTATGACGAGAGAAAACTTTCGCAAACACGATTCGCCTGTTCCCAATGACTGTTACAGCAGTCTTGTTGATATGGCTGTCTATTGGATGTTGAGCTTTCAGAGCCTTAGTTTAGGATTCAGGGTGATCTGCTTCAGGCCCTAAAGCCCTGAACCGAAGAACCCAATGTAGGGGCCTGAATAACTAGAATAGGGTTTTGGGGCCCATTGTACTATAAATACAGCAAGGAACCCCAAAATCGTATAGGTAATTATTGAGGCTCCTATATTACACGCTCCCGCGCCAGCCGGGTCACGCCAAACGAGTGCATGCATCCATTTGGCATCAGGCACCTCGGGGTCCGAGATGGAGTATAACATACTATAGCATACAGTTAGTATAGTATATTCTATTCTATAATGTTTATCTACTGTCATATATACTCTATATATATATATATATGATACTAAACTATATACTGTAATTTTTATCTACCATCACTTGTACTATAACATATACTAGAATTCAAACCTTCCTCTGGGGGCCCGGACAAAGATGGGCACAGCTAGCCGGTAGATCTCGATGAAAGTGGTGATGCAGAAGTTCCATGGGATCATCGCTACGGCCTGTAATAACAATATTAAAATAGTAATGATAATTGACATTACGAATAGTAATAGTAATAGTCGTAATAGTACTAGTAAGAAGTTCCATGGAATCATTGCTACGGGCTGCTTCAACATCAGTGCTTCTCACTACGTATTGCATTTGCTGGTTGCCGGGGGCTGGTGACACGAGTGGCGTGGGTAGCACTAGAGCGATGGAAGCGGCTGCTGCTAGCGCTACAGCTACAGCTACAGCTGCTGCTGCTGCTGCTCCTCCTCCTCCTCCTCCTCCTGCTCCTGCTCCTGCTCCTGCTCCTGCTCCTGCTCCTGCTCCTGCTCCTCTTCGTCCTGCCAGGACTACCCCTGCTCTTTTTGCCCTCTTCTTCCTGCTTGTGCCACTGCTTCGACTACAGAAATACTTACCATCCATGCTATGACCAATGGAGGAATGGTGGTGGCGGCCCTGGCAACAGCCGTGACTACGAGGCTGATGCTGCTCTTCATGCGGGCACACACACGAAAGGTAATATACGGGCCTTAATAATTAGGATAGGGTTTCAGGGCCTATTCTACTATAGCTATAAAAAAGAAACCCACAAATAGTATGGGATGGGTAATTATTTAGGCCCCTATACTACTAATGCAAAACCCAGCCTTGAAGTTGAAGAGCTCGAAGATCCTGAACTCCTTTTGGCTGTAAAGAAAGTACTGCCTAGGGTAGTTCGCATTCCGCAGAGCATCTTCCAGCACGAACTTGACCAGCTGGTACTCCTGGGGCGCCAAGATGAACTCGAACCTTGCACAAGGAGCCGAAATTCCATGTCTTGTGCGTACAACTACCAGGTGGCGTTTTCCGTCGTGGCCAATGAAGATCAGAAAAGTCCTGTCCTACAGTCCTACATACTCCTGCTGTCCTGCCTGTGCAGCAGGATGCGTCCGTGACGATGAATGTGTGAGCCAGTCTTAGCCGCCACGCCCAGGACGTGCCGGCCGGCAAGCGGCAGGAAGGGCATAGGCCCAATGGCCCTGCAAAGGAGTTCCGGTTACTTATGGTTGACTGGTCTTCGTTAACGGCGTATAAGCTGCAGTAAGAACGGCCACAGTAGCAGCAGAAGTAGGAGCAGCACAAGCCGCAGCAGAAATAACGTCGTCGTCTTCATAGTCGTCTACGTCGTCGTAAGTAGTAGCAGTAGTAGTAGTAGCAGTAGTAGCAGTAGTAGCAGTAGTAGTAGTAGTAGTAGTAGTCCTCCGTTGTCGTCGTAGCAGCAGCATCAGTGGGGGTAGCGGCATAGGAGTAGCGACAGCGGCAGTAGCAGCAGCAGTAGCAGCGGCGGTAGCAGTAGCAGTAGCAGTAGCAGTAGCAGTAGCAGTAGCAGTAGCAGCCGCAGCGGCAGCAGAAGCAGAAGCAGAAGCAGAAGCAGAAGCAGAAGCAGAAGTAGAAGCAGCGGCAGTAGCAGTAGCCGTAGCAGTAGCTACAGTAGCGGTAGCAGTTGCAGAGTTTGTAGTAGTAGTAGTAGTAGTAGTAGTAGTAGTAGTAGTAGTAGTAGTAGTAGTAGTAGTAGTAGTAGTAGTAGTAGTATAGTAGTAGTAGTAGTAGTAGTAGTAGTAGTAGTAGTAGTCGTCGTAGTAGCAGTAGCAGCAGTAGTAGTAGTAGTAGTAGTAGTAGTAGTAGCAGTAGCAGTAGTGGTAGTGGTAGTGGTAGTGGTAGTGGTAGTGGTAGTGGAAGTGGTAGTGGTAGTGGTAGTGGTAGTGGTAATGGTAGTGGTAGTGGTAGTGGTAGTGGTAGTAGCAGTAGTTGTGCGAGGAGTAGGAGTAGGAATACGAGTAGGAGAAGGAGTAGTCGTAGCAGCAGCGCAGCATTAGAAGCGGTACTCGAGGTTCTTGTTCTAGTACGAGTGGCTGTTGGTGCTGTCGTAGCAGCAGGCATCGTAGGAGTAATAGCAGCGGCAGGAGCAGCAGTAGTACAAGGTAGCGGTAGCTAGTAGCTCGTAGCTAGTGTTTAGTAGTTTGTAGGTAGTATTTAGTAGTTAGTAGTTGGTAGCGAGTGGCTGTCTTAAGTAGTACGAGGTAGTAGATAATGGTTAGTAGCCAGTAGCAGTTCTAGAAGTAGCAATAGAAGCAGTCACCATCCTACAGCGGTGGTAGTCGTCGAACCATCGGTGATATTGCAACTGCAGCAGCATCAGCAGCAACAGCAGCAGTGGTAATGGTCACCATGGTCGGAACATCAACTGTTGCGTACTTCCGCTAGCAACAGCACGAGGAAGCGCATATGACCGTGGTACGGACGTAACTTCTGGCAACACCACAGTTCTGCATTCTCATACCTTGCCTGCCATACCACGCGTGCTGTATGCCGTTCATGGCAACCACCCACCTTCCACAAGAGCAGCACATGCTTTGATACTGCATTTCTTTGACACAACCTGACGGCGCACGTGAAAGCCCGGACTGCTCGAGAGCGTCCCACAGAGGCCCCATCATCAGGCGGTCTACATGCAAACCAAAGCTGAGAGGCCGCAGATGCTAAACATTATGACTGTTGTATCTGCCTCTTTTTAGTACATAACATATGTCCTTCATTTTTCGTATTATTGTTATATTGTATAATGTCTAGTATAGATCATATATTTTAAGTCATATTAGACCCAACACCCTCCTTGGCCCCTGGTCCGACGTCTTGTTGAGCTCCTGGGTCCAGCGCGTGAGCCGGCCGTGCAACCAAGCTTGCAGGTCCTCGTGAGGTTTAGGGCTTAGGGTTTAGGGTTAGGGTTTCGGGGTTTAGAGTTTTGGGGTTTAGGGTTTAGGGCTTAAGGCTTAGGGCGTGCACACAATGTGCGTGCGGTGGGTGCGCCTTTTGTTTTAGGAATAGGGGCGCACCGACTTATCTCGCGCTTGCATCAGCATGTATTCACGCCCCAACCACCCCAACTATTCTCAATTGGGGTTTAGGGTTCACCCCTCAAAAACGCTTTCTTGCTCTCTGCTTCCATTTACAATTCGACATAAACGACCACATTTCAAAGCCAACCACAGCTGAGATGAATAGCTGCTGAGATGGATTGGTGTCGGCTTGTGGGTCCTCGCGGCCTGTGCCGGCCGCCCGATGAAAAGCATGGGTTTCCAAGCAACAACCCGCCCCTCGCACCCTGCAAGGGTCGCTCGAAGTGTAAACAGGCAAAGTCGGCCGGGTCCCCTTCGAGGTCCCCCCAAAAAAATACGGCACCCTCCTAATCGAGATAACTACCCATGTGAATGTGGCTTCGAAGTCTTCGCTTCAGTCGATCTGGAGGCGAGTCCTCCTCGGTGTATTCAGCCGGCACGCCGCCCTGCAGCGGGAGCAGGAATGCCTTGCTCCGAGTTGCAGGGACCTGGGCATGGGATTTAGGCTCCAAGAGGGCAGCTTTTTGCATTAAGGTCCCTTTGGGGATCCCTTCTATAAGGGTGCCGCACTGTATTTGGGACCTAAAGCGGGACCCTGATTTAGACAACTACCCAAGACATACTGAGGTGTGTGTGTGTGTGTGTGTGTGTGTGTGTGTGTTTGGGGTTTGGGTTCCGGGATGTTCCTGAAGCCAAAGATCCGCAACCAACATCTGCAAGCCCGGAAGCTCGATGACACAGAAACTGGTCAAGTGAAGAAGATGAAACCCAAAAAACAGACACCAACCTCAGAAGGTAGGTCAAAATAAATTGGTTTTCCTAACCTCAGCCGATCAGGAGCCTCATCCAGCAGCAAGGCATAGATGTAGGGATACGTGCACACAAGGAGGTCGGCTTGCTCTATTTCCGGGGTAGCATGGACCTGGAATCAGCGGGGTAAAACTCCCAAAGCTGTCGCTGCAGTGATTCTGTTCTTGCAGATGCTCAACTCGGAAAAGTCTGAGGTCCAATCAGGACCAAGGAGCCGTTCTCTCAAGCATGGTTCGCATCTGGCCCAATGTGATTCCCTCCAGGGAATTGAGCTCATCAATACTGCGTGCAGTTTCCCCTCTCCGCTTCCTGAGCTGTTTCGGAGGGTCCTTTTGCTTGTAAGTAACATAAAGGCCTTAATCATTTTAATGGGCTGTTGGGGCATATTGTACTGCAACTACACCAAGGAAGCCCATATCACAACCCGACGGGGACTCCCTGCGCGATGCTAAGCCGGTCCTAAGCCCTAAACCCTCAACAGGACACTGCAAACCCCAAGGTTCAGGTAAAATAGAAAGACAAAAATCAAGACTAAACAACAAAACCAGGAAATGCAATGTAAAATGTTTTGAAACAAAACAAACGTCAGATTGGGAGTAATCACCGACCCCTCACGGGGGTTCACCTTGGTGAGCTGGTGCAGCACGTACTCCACTCGAAAATTGGGCACGCAGGTGCCGCTTCGAAGAAGCCTGCCGCTCTGTGGCTGCATGCTTCATGCGTTCGACTGACAAGCGTCTACCACCTGTTCTACCATAGTATGGTAGAGTCATAGCCATACTGCATCATATTTCATTCCATTACAGTACAGTAATTGTAACACACTACATTGCATTCTACAACTGCATAGCAAAGTATAGTATAGTACAGTATAGTACTACAGCATAGTCCGGTAAAGTGTGGTATCCAATACGGATCTGTATAGCAGAGCAGATCATATTACATTCGAATGTAGTGCGGCTCTATTACATCTAGCACGTCATGAGCTATGCGTTGTCTCATGTATGCTATGTCATGATGCGTATACATGCGGACAGTTACAGGTGTGCCTTACGTCACATGCCGTGGACTGAGAGCCTGGCTCGGCAGCTTTTTGCTTCTAGCACTTTCTGCTTTATATCATAGTGTAAGATACTATATAGTGTATTATACAATACTGTACGAAACTAGGGTCTTGCGTGCCTGCAATACTCCCTTGCTGAATCGTACTTCTGCGCGAGAGCGTAGCCCAAGATCGCGATGTCCACAAAAAAGCCCACTTCAGCTGAAGCGTCCTGGAAGCCTAGGGCAACGTCGGCGATGTAGTTGTGGTTCCCCTGACAGGGACAAGTGCGCGCTTTCGAATTCGGGCAGCATGGGCCATGACGCTGTGCTGTAACAGCTACCACGCACGACTACCAGAAGCCTGCGAAGCAAACGACTGGTAAGAATCAGGAAGAAGAAGTTGCAGCAACAAAGTAGCAATCGGAATGATAGTGGCGATGGCAAGAACCTCTGAAATGGGAACAGCACTAACAAACTACGAAGAGTGGCAGTAATGGCACTGATCGACGCGCTGATCATTAGCAGCCTGGCTGTAACGAGGATGCCTCTACGTTTTAGCCAAACCGACAACGACGAGTCAGAACACTAACCAATCGACATAGCAGTGAAGGCAGGCCAGGCAAGGAAGCCCACTGCATTGAAGTCCAATAATGACTACTAAGATACTACTACGTAATAGTTGCTTGCGAATAGTGATACTAATACTTTCAAACATAGTAACTGTGCTATGCTGTGTGTTGAGGAATCTGTCATCGCAGCGGTCCCGAAGCCATGAGTCTGGTAAGGGCAGATCTGAAGAGAACCGGGTTAGGGCTTTAGGGCTTACTTCAAGGATCATGGGACTTAGAAACTAGGGTTATAAATACGGTAACTTTGCTTGCAACTACTTATAACCCCAATTAGGGTACCTATAACCTTACCTACTAAGTCCCCTGATCCTCCAAGTACTGGGGCCGTAACAATGGCACAAACCATACCAGAACTGGAAGACGGGGGATAACCCTCAGAATGAGACTGGTAACGACTCCCTTCATGCTCCCTCTCCGGATGCTATCAGCGAGAGAGCTGAGGAGAAAGAGGGGGTGGAGTCCCACAGAAAGAGGCACAATAATTAGAACGGGGTTTTGGGGCCCATTATACTGAAATCACAACCCCCAAAATAGCATAGTTTAGTTTAAGTAATTATGAAGAATCGGCAGAAAGCTGTTGAGAGCGACTTTCAACTTTGCTGCACGTGGTATAGAGGCACGGGGCACCTGTTACTACTCTTTACACCGAAAGATCCCTGAAACCTACACACGGGACTTTCCGAAAATGGGGGGCCCCAATATAGTACCCTAAATACTAGGATCCTTGTTATAAGGACCCCCCAAAAAAGGTACCTGGATCCGAAACCCTGAACCGCCCTAAACAAATGGGAGTTTCCGAAAATAGTGGTCCCTTATTTGGGGTCCTACTATTTAGGGTACTATATGAGGGTCCCCTATTTTCGGAAACGCTCAAGTCGAGCGGCGAGGATGGCCACACCGATGCGTCTTGAGCTTCGGGTCGGAGGCGGAGGCCAAAACTCCAAGGCAAAAGGGGGTTCCCCGATCATGGAGTTTTTTTGGTGGTTTAGGAGCTTAGGGTGTTTAGGGCTTGGTTAGGGGTTTGGTGGCTTTGCGAGGGATTACATAGTTCGGATACGGGTTTAGGGATTGGCTTGAGGGTTAGAAGTTAGGGCTTTGGGTTTTAGGGGCAAGCGTGCAAGGGGATTGAAGCTTAGGATTATGTCATATCCACTGCATGCTCTCCTCATGTCGTGCAGACCCAACTTGTCTTAGGCTGTTCTGCTCACGTTTTGGGCTAAATCCGTCTGTGCTGGGGGCCGGTAAGTCCGGGTAGACGGTTTTTGTTAGACCGCTACCTGGTTGTGGCAATACGGAAAGGCTAAAGAACATGGTTCGAAGGCTGAGAGGACGCATGATAATCGTGGTCATGGCTTCGAGCTCACTAGCATGTTCCTTTCGCCCCCCGAGACCCGGATCCAACACCACGAGCCCCAAACCTGTGATGCTTGGATTTCGCCTTCGGCTTCCCTGGTGGACAGGGGCAGCGACGCCAATGCACCTCTGGGGTCAAGGGTCGTCCATGGGCCTCCTGGAGCCCTTGATTGCTGTTAGGGTACAGGGTTCAGGGTTTGGGTTTTTTTGGGGGGGTTTAGGGTTTAAGGGTTTAGGTATGGTTCAAAAAGTTGTCCCAAGAACCTCCGGCCACGTCCGATAGCTGGAAGAAGGGGCTTGTGATTTGGCAGGCTGCTTCTTTCTATCCCTGAAGGACTGACACTACCTGCCTAATTATTTTAGTGGGAGCATTGAAGAAAGCAAAGCGACGACCAATCCCAAATTTCTACTGCACAGTAGCACTAGACCCTAATCCCTACACTTGCTCTACGGAGGGAGTGTCAGCTTTGGAAAGGGAGGCTCAAGAGCTTCACATCTTCGGCTTCAGCCATCGGGCAAGTAAACATGTCACAGTAAAGTGCCGACAAGTGTATCATGTAGGTCGAGGTTGTGGGGATGTTTGACTGGATCCGGATTGCAACAATGATCTTGGCAATGGCCACGGATCTGATTCCAAATTCCACTGTCAGAGGTATTCGGTCTCATTACTCGGACTGTTCGTCTTTCTTCTGGCACTACAGTACTACTACTGCCCCAAAGGCTAGACTTCGGGATTCACAGGGAGGCAATGGACGTCACCTCAAGGACACCTCAGACGTTCTGAAGCCCTCGATACGTCTAGGAATTGCTCTGAAGGGGCCGTCCTTGCGGTGGAGGCATGGGTTTACGGTATAGGGTTTAGAGTTTCCGAAAATAGGGGACCCTAAGAAAGTACCCTAAATAGTAGGATCCTGTTGTTACAGTCAGCTTGGATGGAAGCCGGTGTCTTCAACGGAGGCCCCCTTCGAAAGAAGCCCCAATCTGCGAGCCGATCCTGAGTTTCTTCAGCAAAGACGTCCAAGTAGTTCCTCGGCCGACAGTCGTGCATTGAATTGTTCAGAACAGAACTAGCAGCAACAGACAAGCCGGAAACCTGAAACCCCCATTGTTACTGCGCATGACAACAAGTACGACGATGCGAACACCGTGGAAGAAATGCTGGATGCTGTTTGGCAAACGAACGGTTGGACCAAACCGGTTGGGCAGTTCACTTACAACTCACCATGACACCTGCAGAGCAATTCAAAAGCGCTGCCATTGATTCGCTATGAAGCACTACTGTTGATGATATAGATCCTGCATAACCTGAAGGGCCCCAAACGATGGGAATCATGGTATATTCCTTATGGGTAATGCAGGATTTATATCATTAACCGTAGACATGGCTCTGATTCATTGCGGGCATGCAGTTACTGCACAGGCATACCGGCAAGGTGAATTTGCCGATGATGGCAATTACAACAAATATTGCACATATAGGAGCTGGAATCAAGTGCTTCTAAGCATACCATAGCACGATCAGCACGCTGGCTACCGCGCACACACCCCTATCATCTTGACTAAAGCAAACAAGCGGCTACGCAACCTGTGATGGCAACGAAGGCCGGGGAATGCGAGCTGCTGGAATGCAACAATCCCCTCACTACACGAAGCACCAGACTTGGGAAAATCTGCGATCCTACTGCACAAGTATGGACCACAGGATATCGCTGCTTCTGTTCCTCATGATCACGTGCTCGGCTGGGACGAAGCTCCGAGCAGGTAGGATGACTACGAAGCAGTTCCGAGGGCGGCTGTTCAGGAGCGGGTTAAAATGAAGACGCCTGTGTGCAGCGAAAGCTTCATAACCGCTGCAGCTGTCACCGGCCAGACACGCCCATCCAAAAGAACCCAATATGCCTCCAGGCGAGTTCGTGAAACCGGCATGGCTCGGAGTAGGTTAGACTTGCAGCATTCAAAACTGAGCGACTGTTATCCAAAACACCGGACGAGTTGGAAACCACCCCCAAGATGCGGGTTGATTCATGTGGGCTTTCATGCCGTGTGCTTCTTGATGAGAAGCTTTTTAGACGCTCTTCAACCCCAGAACACGACACCTTCAACATCGACGTCCGATTGCTTTGAAGTTCTGGAAGCTTGGGCGCCTGGTTCGCCGGCTGGAAGGCGAAGTTGTACAGAGCCAGCATGATTCTCGTCGCGTCTAGCCCAATCTTGAGCTTGTGCACACCCTGAGCGGTGGAGAACTGCTGGGCTCAAAGGCAAGATAGCCACAAGGGGCCTAAACAATTAGAAAAAAAGTGTTGGGGGTCGCAGTACAGTTGTGGTATAATATACCCCCAAGCCCTTTTCTAATTATTAAGGCCCCTACATTACCTTGCGTCGTAGTGGTAGTAACATTGGCAGCGGTAGTGGTAATTAGGAGTGGTATCGGTGGTAGCTGCAGTACCAGTAGTAGTCGTCGTCGTGGTAGTTGTCGTAGTATGTAGCAGTCGTAGTAGAAGTCGTAGTAGTGGTGGTTGTAGGAGTATAGTAGCGGCAACTATAGCTAATACCTGTAGCCTCCAATCCTTACACAATTCTCCATGCTGGATCCTGCTATCCTCGACTATCACAGGGATCAGATCTGCACTTTTTGTCGGGTTTGGCCTACCCGGGCACATGCACGCCTCGAACTGATTCATCGGTCTCTCTAGTGCCTTGACAACCAGACGCGTACAAGGACTCACTCCCGTCATGATGCTCTGCCAGAATACGTGTTATAGGGGCCTTAGAATAGGGTTTTGGGGCCCATTATACGATAATCATAATAAGGAACCCTCAAAATAGTAGTGGCAATTATTAAGGCCCCCATATTGTCATGGCTGCCAGGCCGCTAGGCCATGGTCTGGCATGTAACAGAACTTGTCTCACGAGACAAGGGACAACCACGAAGAGAGCGTTGATGAGTCCCAACATGCAGACGTTCTTCTCCTGCACTGCCAGATTGTGGAGCCAGTCCGCCTCTGAGGCTTCACCTCCACGCAGCCAATGTCTCCCACTTAACTAGCTGCACACAGCTCTGACAGAGTTCTGTGAGCTGCTAGCATACCCTCTCTCGGCCGAAACTCTTGCCACTACCGGTGACTGAGGACGAGACCTGAGAGAATGGCCGCCGTCAGGTCGCTTGAGCCCTGCACATACAACACAAAGCACAGAAACCACGCGAGAGCTGCTTGCTTCTTCAGTCTTTTGCCTGAGTAGCTCTGTCTGTCTCCCTCTTTCGGTTTCGCGCCGGCTCATCCAAAACGACAACTTGATCGGCGTTTGTGAAGCCCCAATTCTTCGCGAGGTGTCCTGTTGTCTCAGTTCCTCATGATCAGCCGCGCAAGTGCGAGAGTTTCGCACCGCTTCATTGCCATAGCGTCTCTCACTGAGATTCGAGCACTCGCCCTCGTCCAGAACTTCTCACGCATTGTCCACATATCCCCGGAACAATCGCGTAGGAATCTGAACATGCCCCTGATAGTTCCGGTCTCAGGATGCTCAGAAAAAGCCGGATGCTTTGATTGTCGACCTGGGATGTGTTTTGTACCCTCACAGGCATGCGATCAGTTTTCTGCACATGAAATTAAGTCTCTGCTTGCTTGTTAACTCATTACTCCATCTCTTTGTTTCGCTATCCATTCTTGCTTATCGCTGAGTCGGGGATTTGCCGACATTCTGAGGTCCTCCCCGAAAACAAGACAAGTGTTGGGAGCCAGATACCCCCAGCAGCCGGTTTGCCAATTAACCCAGACCGCCTGGTGTTTGATGGCTGCATAACCCCTCGTCTCTCCGTCTCTCCGTCTCTCTCTCTTTCCTCTCTCTCTCTCTCTCTCTCTCTCTCTCTCTCTCTCTCTCGCTCACACCAGCTCTCGCTCTGCCTCTCCCTCTCTCCGTCCTCAGACTCTGACTCTCTCTCTCTCTCTCTCGCTAGTGCGGTCCCATGCTCAGGACAACTTCCTAGGCTCTCCCTGGCCTTTTCCTGCGGCTTCTGCATTGCAGCCAGCGACGATGCCAAAACATCTTCCGGCACCGATGGCAAAAGCTCGAGATCCACGCCCTTGGCCCAAAGCCATAGGCGCTGTCGGAGCTCGCTCCACTCGGGGTGGAAGCCGCTTGCATTACAGTTGAAAACTGTAGGACCTCGACGAAGCCATTGCTTCTTTACAGATTCCAAGGCAATCTCCTGTGTAGACTTCTGCTCCGCCCTCTCGGCTCTCCGCGCTCGTGCGACTCTTTCCGGAAGCGCTGCTAGATGAAAGACAATGCGGCTGCCCCTCGACTTGTTGCTTGGCAGAGGCAGGTGCCACTGAGATGGTGCCTGCAGTGCATGAGCTCTCCTGGCTCTGGGCCACTGCACTAGATCCCCAGGGCTAGGCAGCCATCCTACGAAAGACTCGCCCACCATGCGCCACCAGCCCCGAGCCGATTTGGCGAAGATCTCCCAGGGCTCATAGGAGGAAACAACCAGGCAGTGCTCTCTTGGCAGCCTCATGGGCCTAGAAAACCGAGTGCGGCAACGTCCGGAGGAGAACAGCAATTGCGTCCGAGCCAGCATTCGAGTCATCATCCATCTGTCATCGACTCGCTTCACGGGCCTGTGCACCTCCATCCAAACCCCAGTCTTGCCATGCCGCCAACAATTTGAATTGCGAATCTCCACACCAGTGACAAAGCGATATCTGCGATCCAAGCTATTCCGGCACGTCTGTGTGGCCAGGGAGTTGTAGTTGTCAATGCTTGAGAGCATGTCCGAAGACATGGTTGCTCCGACAGCTACTCACTTGAAAAACTAAAAACACTAAGCAAAAAGCTGCGTTCCACAGGCGAGCACCAGTCGAGCTCGAGCTGTGGTCGCAATTGGATCTTTCTGGCTTGAGCTGAGAGATTCTCCGGATCGCAATCCAGTCCTGTTGGCATAATCGCTGCCAACAGACGGGTTTTGGATAAGTCTATACTGCAAGTATAACGCGTCTCGTAAGAGGCTAACATGACGAATTCTTTCGGCGCCTGTAGGTCGAAGGCACCCTCCAGGCTCCGCTACTGGTTTTCAGGTGGAGTCTCCTGGGCCTTTGGGGTGCTTGTAGCTCGTCCCCTTCACCCCAAAATCATACTTGGCCCTCGACTCACGACAAGGCTTGACCGCTGCGGGCGCGCCACGAACCCGGTCCTGGGCGAGCTGGGTTCATTGGTACGTAGGAACAGGGTTAATACACGGGCCTCAATAATTTCAATAGGGTTTTGGGGCCCATTATACTGTGACTACAATAAGGATCCCCCAAAATAGTACAGACAGGTATTTTATATGTCCCCTATATCATAGTCATAGAGCCCTTTTAGCATCCCTTACAGAAACCCTTATAGAACCTTTCAAAGGACCCCCAAATAGTATATTAAGGCCCCTATATTCGAGGCTGAGATATACAGGAAGGTTGCCCTGGCTTGGGCGATGGCTTCCGCGCTTTCGGGAAGGAGGCAAGATGAGGATAGTAGCAAAGATGATGAACCGATGTTGATGTTGATGACGACGGTGATGGTGATGATGATGATGATGGTGATGGTGATGGTGATGGTGATGACGATGATGATGCTGCTGATGATGGTGGTGACGCTGATGATGATGATGATGATGGAGATAATGATGATGATTGTGATGATGAGGATGACGGTCATGATAATGAGGATGATCATGAACATGTGATTGTCGATAAACGGCATCAAAGACAACAGTGAGGACCAGGACAACAACTGAATGCAATATCTGCCTTTGACGAAGATAAGTAAGAGGATGATGGTTACAAGCTGAAAAGTGATAATCACCACCACCACCACCGCAGCCGCCGCCGCCAGTCAGGCTTTACTTCGAATGAAGCACGACAAGCCATAGCTTGCAGATAACCTGTGCCGGACTCTTCTATCAGTGAGCCGAGCCTGGGGAAAAATGTGTGCATGCCCGATGTATTCCTTCCCTGGTCCATCCGTACCTTGAAACAACCGGAAATTGTTGGGAATGAAGGTTCCCTACCAGAGGATCTTGTTGAAAATACTACAAGATGAAACAGAATAGCCCAAGACTGGCAACTTCTTGCCTAGCCCCGACCCTTGAACGAGACATACTCCAAGCCCTACTGTCGAGGACTCAACAGCCAGAGCAGGTTTCTGAGGTCTACAACGACATAACGACTCTAAGGCATCATGAAGAAGCTTGCAGACGCCCTCAGACAAATGGAGTCGGAGGCTCAATGGCCGGCTGAGGCCCAGACCCAGGCGACCGAGAGCATGAGCCTCCAGTTGCCTCAGCCACGGGCTGCTCCAAATTACACTTGAATGGTCTCAGTTTGCCATAGTATGGTCCCATGAGAGTCGCAGAATCATCATAACAAGAACAGTACTACTGATGGGCAGTAAGCAAAGACCATTACAGCAACAATAAGCTCCCTTCATTGGGGCGTCCCAAGCTGTGGGAGTGAGCCCTGAACGACAGCATCAGAACCAGTAATCAGATTCAGATTCCTCTAGTGAAATTCAAGCAAACCCCAAAACCCTTGTAGTATTCCTTACAAGAACCCCAAAGGAAGCCTAAAAATTAGGATCTACAAAGCCTGTTCGAGTTGTTAAGGCCCTATGCTAAACCCTTACAGTAACCCTTCTAATAACCCTTGAAAGGAACCCTATATACAAACCCTAAACCCTATTCCCGACATTCTCCGGGAACCCTCTGAGCTTGGGACGGAACTTCGCTGGATCCCAGCCTTTCGCCTTCTGCTCTGGGAATGTAGGGTTTGGAGGTGTTTTTTTGCGCCTTTTTCCTATCCACAGAACGGAGTCAGAGAGCCAGGGTTTAAGGGTTTAGTGTTTAAGGGTTTAGGGTTGAGGAACTTGGGGTTTTAAGGTTTAGGAATTTGGGGTTTAAGGGTTTAAGGGTCTAGGGTATAGGGTTGCAGGATTCTGGGTTTATGGTTCTGAGTTGGGCTTTTCAGATTCAGGGTTTAAGGAGTTAGGAACTTCTAATCAGGGCTTGGGGCCTTTAGGGGTTTGGGGTTTAGGGGGCTTCGCAGAGTTATGGGCTTTGGGTTTAGGGCTTTAGTGCTGTAGGCTGTAAGCCGTGAGGACTCGGGTCTGCGGCTTAAGCAACGCCACGACCACATCCCGGGGATCTGGGCACGGTTTCGGGTTTAGGGTTTCGAGGCTCGGCCGACCGCCCTTGGCCTCCGCAGGAATGAAGATGAAGCTTTCGATCTTTTGCGGCTGATCCACCTCTGGCCGGTCTACGACTACGACCGGGGCTTAGGGTTTAGGTTTAGAGGTTCAAGGTTTTCAACGATGACGCTCATGAGTCATATGCACGATGACCGACTGCGACCCTAAGAAAGGCAAAGATATTGACGGCGGCAACGACAAATTGATGTGGTATGGTGTCATGATGTTAGCGGTGATGACAACGACCTGAGGTGACTGGCGATTGGTGTTGCTGATACTACATAACGATGCAGAATAGCATAGTGATATGCTTCAAATGCAAGTAGACCAACTGAGGAAGTGTGCAACCATTGTCATGGTCCTAGATACTGCCATGACGAAGGTGCTTGCGACCACATGACCATGCTGCTGACGGAGTCGAGAAAGAAGGAGGGGGAACGGGATCATGGTAGTCAGGGTGACCCTGATGAACGTGGTCATCATGCTTACCATGACGCTCACAGCAGCAGCAAAGCCGGCAGGTACTCAGCTTCAGGCACTGTTGCCTTTCAACGGGCAGAGATCCAGGTCGAAATGGCCAAGCCTCTAACCATCAGCACAGAGTGGCTTCATTCCTGCACGATCTGATTGAGGCCAGACAAAACTGGAGCTGATAACTCTGCAAACGAACCACCCCAAACCCCTAAACCCCCAAACCCTAAAGCCCCAAACCCTAAACCCAGCATCCCTGAGTTGGAGGAGGCGCCTCGTACCCTCGTGACTCTCCGCATCATCACCTGCAGGACTTAGAGGCGCTTAAGAACTGAGTAAGGTTGAGATTCAATCCCTAGGCGGTAGGTGCAATTTCGTATCGATGCTCGTACTCCAAACACAGACAGAGAGAGAGAGAGAGAGAGAGAGAGAGAGAAAGAGAGAAAGAGAGAAAGAGAGAGAGAGAGAGAGAGTGAGAGTGAGAGTGAGAGTGAGAGTGAGAGTGAGAGTGAGAGTGAGAGTGAGAGTGAGAGTGACAGTGAGAGTGAGAGTGAGAGTGAGAGTGAGAGTGAGAGTGAGAGTGAGAGTGAGAGTGAGAGTGAGAGTGACAGTGAGAGTGATAGTGAGAGTGAGAGACAGAGAGACAGAGAGAGAGAGAGAGAGACAGAGAGAGAGAGAGAGGGAGAGAGAGAGAGGGAGAAAGAGCAAGAGAGCGCGGGGGGCTGGGAGAGAGAACGAAACTAAATCCTTGAGTGATACTGCTTAGCGACCTCGTGTTAATCCGGACGATAAAGTCTCCGAGAAAGCGCACAGAAAATAACAATCACAGCTACAATCACAATCTTCATCTTCATTATCACCAAGGCAGTGATCAAAACACCTGAACTAAGTAGACTTAATTTGGCCAGATATAAATACACATGGACATCAAGAACAAAAACAAGAAGAATGATAATAATAATAATACTCCTAGTATTACAAGTTTTGCTCACGAACCTCCGCCCAGCACCACAGGCACCCTGCCTGCAGGAGTCGACCCGGAGAAGACTTCTGCACGGATCACCTGCAGATACTACCGTCAACGTGCAACAAAGCAGGCGCCTGAAAAGGGGGAATGCAGTGGAGTAGTAGTAGTAGTAGTCGTTGTCGTCGTCGTCGTCGTCGTCGCAGTAGTGGTAGTAGTAGTAGTAGTAGTAGTAGTAGTAGTAGTAGTAGTAGTAGTAGTAGTAGTAGTAGTAGTAGTAGTAGTAGTGGTAGTAGTAGTAGTAGTAGTAGTAGTAGTTGTTGTTGTTGTAGTTGTAGTTGTAGTTGTAGTTGTAGTTGTAGTTGTAGTTGTTGTTGTGGCTGTTGTAGTTGTAGTTGCAGTAGTTGTTGTTGCTGTTGTAGTAGTAGTTGTTGTTGTTGTCGTTGTTGTTGTGGCTGTTGTAGCTGTAGTTGTAGTAGTTGTAGTAGTTGTTGTTGCTGTAGTAGTAGTTGTTGTTGTTGTTGCTGTTGTTGCTCTTGGGCTTGAGGCTTTAGGGTTTAGGGCCAAGCTTTGTGGTTTATCCCTACACCCTGAACTGTCCCTCGAACCCTGGCTCCTCACTGCCTAAAGCTTCTCACCAGAGACTTTTGTCCCATGAAACACTGTGTGCAACCAGCATGATCGACGTTTGCAACTGAAACCCGCAACTGCTAAACACTCGACCTGCAAATCCTAATCTCCCGGCCCCTGAACCCCGAAACTCTTCAATCCTAAACCCAGAGACTCACGGATGGCTCTTGCGCAAGTGCAATGCAATTACTGCGAGGTCTCGTGCGTGATCTTCTTGAGGGCCGCTGTACATGTCTTCGGGCTGAAGGGCTCAACGCACGTAGCCCATCATGGCATGCATTTTTTGGTGCAGGCTGCAGCGAAAATGCAAAGTCTGATGTCAGATGTCAGCAACCAAAGCGAAAATGCTTCGACAAACTCTAGTACTCTGAACTCGAAAAAACCCCTCAACCTCAAGATATAAACCCCCCGCCCACTCACTCAACCCCGCCCCCCCTTTAGCATGAATCCTGACTCCCCACGAACTTGCAGTATTACATCGTAGCATCTTCAGCCGC